GAACAGAGGATAACAACATTAAAACACATTTTTTCAACAATATTTTTTCAACACATTTTAGAAATACACTAATTACAAACAGAATTAATTTATGTGTTTTATTATGACAACACACCACTCTGCTGGCGAGGACAATATTTTTGCTCTCAACAAAGCCAGGTCACATTATAGCAAAGTACACCACTTGGCTAGCAAGGTCAACAATCTTGCTGTAAACTAAGCCCAGTCACAACAATTTGAAACCATGCAAACAACATAATTATCACTTACAAACTATAAACATATTACATATGACACACCACAAACATTGAAACATTTCATATATTTACACACTTACAAAATATAAACCCATATAACCTTAACACATATATACACAATAAAACACAATATAAATAACACACATATATAGATAAATATATAAATTAAGAAAAATATATAAATTTGAAACTTTACAAATACAACCTTATTTTTGTTTTTTGAAATACCTCGTAATAAATGTTTAACAACTTTCAAAAACAAACTATCAAACAATCTGGTTTTTTATACGGATTTTTATAACTTCTTTTAAATAAGGTATTAAACGATCTTGTTCATTAACGTGTAACATTGAGTTGACCGTGTGAGATGCAAATGTTTTAAACACTAACTTTATCAAGAGTTTGACCTCTTGACCTTTGAAATGAGCAACGTCTTCTTGAGTCGTCTTTTAATTTAAAAATTACAGATTAATTTTATAAATTAATAAATTTAAATACAATTGACAAAAGACTAAAATGCATGATTTAAATAAATCACCTGACTTTAAAAGTTACTTTACTAATTCAATAATAACATAATGTTCATCCTTTACTACAGAAGTTATCAAATAAAAATTGTTGATCTTATCACTAATTAAGCTGATGAAACAAAGTTTTTGATCTCATTACTGATTAAGCAGATACTGACAGATTATTAAGATTTGAAAGAGCCTCATTACGCGAGTTCAGAAGTAAAGCAATTTATAATAAAACTCAAAGGCCAAGTATGGTAAAAAAGTCCGTGTAAAGGTGCACGAATGGTGAGCAGCAGCAGCAGCAGCGGCAGCGTTAAGTTAAGTATTAATTATAAGCGATTAAATAGATAAATTATTTATCTATTTATATATATCAATTCTCAATATATCAATTATATCAATTTATCAATTTATTTAATTTATCAATATATCAATTTATTTAATAAATTGATATACAGTTAATACATGTGTATTTTTTTCAAACCAAACGGAGAGAATTTTTTAAAACGTTTTTTAAAATTTCTAAAAACATAAAAACGTTGTTAGAAATTTGTAGCGCATATATAATGATAGAGATACTTATGTATTAACTGTATATCAATTTTTTTTTGAAAAAACTTAGTGACAAAATAGACTAATTAGATAAGTCGTTAAGTAGCATGCTAAGAATATATTTATGGCGGTTATTGTTGTTAAGGGTGCTTAATAGGCAAATAAATCAGGGTTTTGAATAAATTATAAACTAATCAGGGAAGTTTTATTTGTAAACCTAATAAATAGGAAAACAACATATAATTCAGGTAGACATTGTTTTCACTTTTTTGCCAAACTTCGATATCTTTAATATTAAAAATGACCTTTCCAATAATTATAGATGGTAGTGTATTAACCTTTTTTTTCGGAACCACAATCCGTAATGATTTGTATTTTATCAATGTGAACGAAAGTCTATTTAAATATCTAAATATGTAAACTTTAATTTTTTTAATTATCAATCAGTATTATTATAAAGTAGATGACATCAAGTTCTATCGATTTATTTTTACTTAAAAATTTCATTGCGACAATATCTCTTTATTTTAAAGCATTAAATGTTGTTTTTTAAAGTTTAATAAGTTTTCTGTTTATTAAATAGTGTAAAAAGATGATATAGCATTCCAAAGCGATTGAAGTGCTTCGCTTGGATTCAAAACCTTTTGCTTACACAATTTTTTTTTTAAATCTTTTCCAGTTTTCTAGAAAACAAAGAAAAACAAGTTTAAATGCATATAGATGTTATACGCATTACATAAAAATAAAGATATAATAAACTATAACAAACCAAACGGAGAGAATTTTTTAAAACGTTTTTTAAAATTTCTAAAAACATAAAAACGTTGTTAGAAATTTGTAGCGCATATATAATGATAGAAATACTTATGTTTTAGGTAATTAGTTAAGTCTGCGAGTTCAACACACATTAAAGAAATAGCTTTCTTTCTTATATATAAAAAAAAAAGGTTTTATATGTAAACTGAAATTTTTATTAAAACTAACTGGTCAAGTGTCCTAAAAAGTACGGTAAGGTATGAAAAAAAAATTGTATTCTGAAACGAAAAACAAAAATTTAGTTACTCCAGAAGGTAACAAACAGAAAATCCACAAAATTTTGCCTAATCCGCTAATAGAAATGCTTGAATACTAAGATATAAACAAATATTAAATGATTTTTGTATTACGAAACGTACGCCAACTCTTAAACCATTGTAAAACTACCTTGCCGTTATCTAATTAAATCCACCAAATCCGTTAATAAAAACAGCTTAATTAATAGATTCAAAACCATCTGATTTTTGTATTATGATATGTGCGCCAACTGTACTCTAAAACCAATAAAAATCGGCCATGTGGTCTTCATATTGATTATAACAACTGCAAAGCGAGAGACGACAAGTAAGTTGTATCTTCAAGTTTAATTATTGTAATCTTTATTTAAAAAGTTAAACTTATTTTATAATTACCATGTTAAAATGTTTAAAGTTAATATGTTTTTGACCCAAGAATAAACATTAAGATTATTTTTTAGAAATGAGCAGCCAAGATACAGAAGGTATTCTTTTTATTTTGTATAACATTAATTAATTAAAGAGATAAAAAGAGATAATACGTCAATAATACTGAGATATTTAGCTTATTATTTTATTAAGAAATTACAATCCAGTAAGCACAAAGACGTTTAAAAGACGTTTTAAAAATGTCTTTAAGGAGGTCTAAAAGGCGCACTTGTAGACGTCTAGATCATAAGGCTAAAAGACGTCTAAATGAAGACGTCTTTATAAAAACGCGTTTTAGACGTATTTTAGACGTTTTTTTCAAGATGAATTTAAGTACATGACGTAACATTTTCGCGTAGTATGTGGCATATATTCATTGTATTTATAAAACCATATATTGTTATAATTTCGTATATTCAAAATATACATGGGAACCAGCAATCCAAATAATATTGCTGTAATCTACACAAACGGTTGATGCGTCAAGGATGAAAATAATATATAACAATAACAAATATATATCAAAACAGTATTTTAAACATTTATAACTTTATAATAATAATATATAACGTTATAATAAAATTTAACATACGTATTGTAGGCTAATTTTTGACCGGATACTTGAATTATTATATGGCTTGTGGGTGTATAAAAACTAAAAATACTGATATTTAACTTATATATTATTCTTGCCATTTTTACTTATTATCATGATCAGTCAACTATCTATTAAAAAAGCAAAATAATTATTAATAAAAAAAAGATATATTAATATTATAGCAATTATTTTAGTGATTCCTGTGACAACAATTTTAGCAATTGTGTAAAAAAGTGATTTAATTTAAAGTAATTTACACTTAAAACTTAAACAAATTATTGAAAATAATAAAAACTATGTTTTTACTTTGAATATATATTCGTATATACGACATCTACTTAACGCGTAATGACAAAGCCGTCAAAAAGAAGTTATAATGACATATTTATAAACAGGTCTCAGAAAAGACGTCGTTTAGCCTTGATCTAGACGTCTTTTAATGCGTCTTTTAGACTATTTATTATGCGTCTTTTAAACGTTTTTTTGAACTTTAAAAAGACGCATTTTAAACGTCATTTTAAAATTGCATTTATTAAAGACGTCTAGAAGATGTCTTAAAAAAAGATATCTTCTAGACGTTTTTTTAACGCTTAAATAGACGCCTTTTAAACGTCATTTTAAAAACGCCTTTATAAAAGACGTCTAGAAGATGTCTTAAAAAATAACGTCTTCTAGACGTCTTTTTATCTTTTAAAAAGACGCCTTTTAAACGTCATTTTAAAAACGCATTCATAAAAGACGTCTAAAAGATGTCTTCAAAACGTCTATAAAAGTGCGTCTTTCACTAGACTAGTTTTAGACGTCTATAAGTGTCTAAAATGCGTCTTGTGCTTACTGGGATTGAGATAATTTTGTATATCTTTAGGCGACGAAGAAGTTTCTGTATTTTTTCGAAGTAAGCCATTTATATATACTATATATAGCAGCAGTTACATATGTTCTAAAAGTGGCGGAGCTGTACTTGATTCACGTGTGAATAAAAAGATGATTTATTTTAGCCGTTTTTAATTGAAATCACCCAAGATATGCCGCCCTCCCCTATCCCGTGAATCAAGTACACCGCCCTAAAATTTAACTAAAATTAAAAAATATATAAATTAATTTTTAGAACTTTAAAAAGGTGGACCCAAAACTCAGTTTTTGTTTATTCCGCTATTTTAATTGATGTTTTTGTAAAGAAGTGAACCTTAAAAACGCGTATAAGCATTATTTAAGGTGTTTAAGCTAGAATTTTATAAAACGTGTTTAAGCTAAAACAGACTTTTAAGTCTTTTAACTACTAAACTTTCACGTAAAATGAAACTTTTTGTCATTTACTGATTAATTTATAATTTAAGACAAATCTTAAATGTTTAATTGAAAAAGTGAATATTTTGAAAATTAATTTTGTCTATATATATATTAGATGTTCAAGAGATCAGAGCCGAAGAGCTCTTGCCAAGTAAGCTAACTTTGTATGAGAAGGATATGTTACAAAGATATATATTTCACCACTTTCAGCACTTTGTTAACTATAACTTTTTTTAAATGTTTAGCGGAAGTAATGGACAAGCTAAGTCAGGAATTTTTTTTTTTTTTTTTTTTTTTTTTTGTGTGTGCAAATACAGTTATGCTTTTTTAGTTTTTTTAAAGTTATTTAGCAACTGACTTTTGTCAGTTGTGACAGTTTGTCAGTCAGCAAGTGACTTTTGTAACTTTTAAATTTATTTTATTTAGAAAAGTTAGAAGATTCAGTTGAGAATCTAAGTAAGCAATTTGTTATTGTTGTTGTCATGCTCTTTATTTTTTTTAATACATATTTATTTAACATAAAGTTATTCTATATATGGCAAGTTAGTTTATTTTAATGTTTATAAGTTTTTCATTTTATTTAGAAAAAGTAGAACATTCAATGGGTAAACAGAATTTGATTATATTTCATTTGTGTATTTTAGATAAAGATATAGCATTTTACTTTCAAAAAGGTCTACTCTTTGGTCTTTTAGCTTTTTTGATACAATTTTTAGCATTTTTTTTTATAGGGCTTATATTTCATCAACTAAGTAAGTTACTATAATGTTCTTCTTTATATTTATTTTTTATTTTTTTTATCACTTTTTTCTTTTTTTTTTTTTTTTTTTTTGTTTTGTTTTGTTTTGTGATTGTTATTTTTGGCGTTTGTTTTGTTCCAACTTTATTTATAGATTTCCTAAAGTTGACAAATATCTGCATGTTAGTTTCTTTCTTAATGTTAATGAGTTTTTTTTTGTATTCTATTTAGAAAAATTAGAAAAATCATTTGGTAAGCAAAGTTCACTTATGTTTCATTTTGTTTAATTTTAACACACATTTATTAATGTTTGTGTGTGGTTTTATCACTTAAAATAAACTGTTTAATTGATTAGTATATGTTAGTTTATGTAAATATATTCTTTAACTCCACCATAGCGTCATCTACAGTACCATCAGGTAATGTGTTTTGCATTCTTATGCAGTTTTAAGAGTGTTATGTGTGTTAAAACTTAAAGATTGCATATCTTAATTTACAGATTACTTTATTTATTTATTTTTTTGTCTCTACATTAGCACCTCAAGCAATAATATCAGGTAATCTGTATAGCATACATATGCAGTTTTATGGGTTTTATGTGTATTGAAACTTAATTTTTTTTTTTTTCATGTTTTCATGCAATTACTTAAATGTTTAACATATTATACTTTATACACTTTTTTTTTTACTTTCACAATAGCATCAATATCATCTGCAGTGCTATCAGGTAATGTGTTTTGCATACTTATGCAGTTTTATGAGTGTTATGTGTATTAAAACTTAAATATTACTTTTTTCATGTTTGTTATCAATTACATAAATGTTTAACATATGTTACTTTATACACTTTTTCTTCTTCCTTACACAATAGCATCAATATCATCTGCAGTACCATCAGGTAATGTGTTTTGCATACTTATGCAGTTTTATGTGTTTTGTGTTATGTGTATTGGAACTTAAACATTTCTTTTTTCATGTTTGTTATCAATTAAATAAATGTTTAACATAAGTTACTTTATACACTTTTTTTTTCCTTACACAACAGCATCAATATCATCTGCAGTACCATCAGGTATTGTGTTTTGCATACATATGCAGTTTTATGAGTGTTATGTGTATTAAAATTTAAACATTACTTTTTTCATGTTTGTTATTAATTACATAAATGTTTAGCATATGTTACTTTATACACTTTTTTTTTTTACTTTCACAATAGCATCAATATCATCTGCAGTACCATCAGGTATTGTATTTTGCATACTTATGCAGTTTTATGAGTGTTATGTGTATTGGAACTTAAACATTACTTTTTTCGTGTTTGTATGCAATTACATAACTGTTTAATATGTGTTTGTTTATATATTTTTTTATTTATTTCAGCAATAGCAACAGTATCAACTGCAGTACCACCGGGTGATGTGTTTTCCATACTTATGCAATTTTTCCATACTTATGCAGTGTTATGTGAATTGAAACCTAAACATTACTTTTTTCATGTTTGTATGCAATTACATAACTGTTTAATATATGTGTTAGTTCATATTTTTTATTTATTTCTATAATAGCAACATAATCTGCAGGACCATCAGGTAATCTGTTTTGCATGCTTATGCAGTTTTATGGGTGTTATGTGTATTTGTGTAAGTATATATGAAATTTAAACATTGCGTATCCTTATTTTTACATTACTTTATTATTGTTATTTTTTTTGTCATAACTTTTTTTTTTTAAAGTCTAAATAGTTTTAAATAATATTTTTATTGGTTGTTTGTGCAGTATTGTATTCAAATTTATTTCTTTTTTTGTTTTTGTTTTTTAGCATTGCATCAAGATTTCCTGCGATATCGCTCCCAGCACCCAGGTCTGATATCTCAAAGGGCTTCCTACCGGTGGTGTCAATATGGGGGAGATGATCCCTCTTTTAGATGAAGAAGACAAGCCCCATATGACACCATTGGTAGAAGGAGGGGTGCTGGGAAGCAGTTCAACTCTTTTAATTTCTACCAGTAGCTTTTTTAAGCTACTGGTAGAATTATCTTTATCTTTAAATATAAAGAAAATTGACTTTTAAAAAAAATGTTTTTTTTAATTTTGCAATTTTTTATTATTTTAATTTTTATACTTTCAATATTTTATTTTTTTGATTTTTAATTCTGTTTTTAAATCCTAAACTTAAAAAAGAACTCTTATGTTATAAAAATTTTTAATAATTTGTCTATAAGTTTTTTTTAATAATTTACGTTTTTACATCTTTTTATCTTTATTTTTAATTTTAATAATACTAAATTTTCTTTTGTATTAACTTTTATTTGTTAAGTGTTATATAGTTTTTGAAAGATTTGATAAATATATTTGAAAATTTTTTTTTTCAATGATATCTGTTTAATATGTCTAATATATGCACTATACACCTATTAATCTCTTTACATTATTCTCTTTACATATATTATAAAATAGTATTTAAAATCAGTTGTCAGCCACATGTGGTCTATATGTTTTGTTGCAATTGTTGGTATGTCATTTTTAAATTTGTAACTAATTTTGCTTTTTAATATTATCATTAATATGACTTTTAAGTTTATTTGTTTCAAAAAATACTGTTTTATTACTTACAATATAGTATGTTATTACAAGATACTCCTGGCTTTTTCTCTGTTTCAAACCAGTTTAGTTATAATTTTTGTTCACAAATTTTATTAGACGCTATACACATAGTTTCATAGGTTTAAATTGATAATTAGCACTTTATTGTTTTTGTTCATTTTAGATTAGTATAGCAAAAAATCAATCAGATAAAGTTTTATCAAACATAAATAATTTCTAAATTATGTCAAGTAACTTAAGAGCTGAAAATAGAAGAAATCGTCGAAATGAGAGAAATGAGGCCAGACGAGAAGCAATTAATTGTCGCCAAAATGGAAGAAATGAGGCTAGACGAGAAGAAATTAATCGTCGCCAAAATGAAAGTAATGAGGCTAGGTGAGACAGTATTACTTAGGCGTGGAATGCATTGCGTAGCAAGAAATAATGTTATTATAGAGAGTAATTACCTAGGAGAAATGAACCATAAGTGTCAGTATTGTCGTGCTAAAATTTTTTTAAATGAAACACATTTTTTGTGCTGCTATTCAGGAAAGGTTGTTTTACCTCCACTTTCACCTTATCCACCGCTGATGGTTGATTTAATGACAGGCAACCATGTTGATCGTGCTTTGAATCAAAATTTTTTCAAGCATATATGGAATTATAATGCCTGTCTATCTTTTGCTTCATTCATAGCCACCATAGATCCTCCGTCAAATGGTGGTCCACCCTGTTTTAGAATTAGTGGGCAAATTATGCATCGTATTGGTAATCTAAGACATCAGCAAGGTGATCCACCTGCTTATTGTCAATTATATGTTTATGATCCTAATACTGCTTTAAACTTTCAAATGGAGCAAAATGATTGTTGCATACGTGAGTTAATGAAACTTTTGCAGACTATAATTAATCAGGAGAACCCATATGCACTTGCATTTAAAAACATGGCAGAAGTTGAAGATGCAGAAATTCGTCAAGCTGCAATAGAAGGTCGACCAATTTCTGTTGTCAAAATGTCGTTGCTTGAGGGTTGTGATAGACGTCGATACAATCTTCCATCACATGAAGAGGTTGCCATTGTGTTTGTAGGAAATGATGGTGCTCCACCTCCATCTAAAGAAGTTGTTATTTATCCTCGAGGTCAACCCTTAAAAACAATTTCAAGTATATCTGCAAATCTAGATCCAATGATATATCCAATATTTTTTCCAAGAGGTGATGCAGGGTGGCATGATCAACTAGAGCACAATCCTGACCGAGCAACACGTGTTCGAAATCGTGTTACTTTGTCTCAGTACTACAATTATAGGCTTTCTATTAGACAAACGTTCAGTCCTATATTTTATGGTAAGAAGCTTTTTCAACAGTATGCTGTTGATGCATATGTCAAGATTGAAGGACAGCGCCTTGCTTTTATCAGAAATAACCAAAACAAACTTAGAAGTGAACAATACGATACATTACATGAGTATGTAAATAATGTTGCAAACAACCTTAATGTAAGACCGGGTCGTGTTGTTATACTACCATCCTCATATGTTGGAAGTCCAAGAGCTTTAAAAGAAAATTTTGAAGATGCAATAGCAATTATAAAGAAATATGGTAAACCAGATCTTTTTATTACTTTTACCTGTAATTCAAAATGGAGAGAAATTACAAAAAATTTAAATCCAGGTGAGAGCGCAACTGACAGGCCTGATTTAGTTTGTCGCGTATTTAAGATGAAACTTAAATGCTTCTTAGATGATATTTTTAAACATGGAGTCTTAGGCAAAGTTGTAAGTCATGTACAGGTTATTGAGTTTCAAAAACGTGGTTTGCCACATGTGCATATTTTACTACACTTTGTAAATGATGATAAGCTAGAAACAGCAGAGGATATTGATAGTTTAATATCAGCTGAAATTCCAGATCAAACTGTTGATCCTGAACTTTTTGAAATTGTAAAAACATGTATGATTCATGGACCATGTGGGATTTTTAATCCCAATTCTCCTTGCATGAAAGATGGAGTTTGCACAAAAAAATTTCCTAAAGAGTTTAATCCTCGCACTGTTGCAATTTTCAATGGTTATCCTAACTACAGGCGTTTAGATAATGGTAGAGTAGTCATTATAAAAAAGTAACCAAGTTGATAATCGATGGGTTGTACCCTTTAACCCCTGGTTATCAAAAAAATACCAAGCCCACATTAATGTTGAAGCTTGCATGTCTATTAAGTCAGTGAAGTATTTATACAAGTATGTCTATAAGGGGCATGATTGTGCGAATGTGGTAATTAATGAAAGTGTTGACCATGATGAAATTAACACATATTTAGACTGTCGCTTTGTTTCCGCCCCAGAGGCTCTTTGGCGAATATATGAGTATTCCATAAGTGATATGTCACATACTATTATCCGCCTTCAAATCCACCTTCATGATAATCAGAGAGTATATTTTAACGAAGGAGAAGAACAAGTAGCTATAGATCGTGCAGCACAGCGTGACACTCACCTAACCGCTTGGTTTAAGTTAAATGCTGAAAATAATGAAGCATGTCAGTATTCTTATGTTGAAATTCCATATCACTTTGTTTTTGGTAAAAATTGCATGCGGAAAGTAAGACAAAGAAGTAGTGATAAGGTGGTTGTTCGAATGTATAAAGTCAGTTCATTTTGCGAATTATTTTTTCTCAGATTGTTACTTTTGCATGTAAAAGGTGCAAAGTCTTTTGAAGATTTGCGTACTGTTCATGGTACTGTTTTTAATACATTTCGTGAAGCATGTTATCATTTAGGTTTATTGCAAGATGACATTGAGTGGAGAAATACATTAACTGAAGCTGCTGCAACTCGGATGCCTAAACAAATTAGGCTACTGTTTTCCATCATATTAACTTTATGTGAACCTGATGATCCTTTACACCTTTGGAATACATTTAAAAACTATATGATTGAGAATTACATACACCATTGAATGCCAGTCGTACTTGCTGAGCAGGCAGCTCTTCGTCAAATTGAATCTATAATTATTCAGAGTGGTAAAACCTTAGCTGATTATAATTTGCCAGCTTTAGATCAGTTTTTAGATAATGTCCCAGAAAATGATGATGAAGACGTTCAGGTATTTATTGATGAAGCAAACCGAGTTAGACCATTATTGAATGATAATCAACGTAATGTATCTGATGCTATCCTTGCTGCACTACTAATGAAAATAAGCATTCAAGGTTGTTTTTTATGGATGGGCCTGCCGGTTGTGGTAAAACATTTACTTACAATTATTTAATTGCTGAAACACGAAGCAGGCATATTAGAACTGCAACAGCTGCATGGACAGGAATAGCTGCAACTCTTCTCAAAAATGGGTGCACAATGCATCGCTTATTAAAACTTCCTGTTCCAATTTTGGAAACTAGCACATGTAATATAACTCCAAACTCTACTCATGGTAGATTCCTAAGACAAATCAGTTTGTATTTACTTGATGAAGCATCTATGATACCCAAATATGCTTTGAGTGCCATTGATAAGCTATTACAAGATATTTGTAATAACAACTTTCTTTTTGGTGGTAAGGTTATTCTTATGGGTGGAGACTTCAGACAAATACTTCCAGTTGTGAAGCGAGGTCGACCAGCAGAAGTTACAGAATCATGTTTAAAATGTTCTAAACATTGGCGATATGTGCAAAGGTTCTCATTAACTGTTAATATGAAGATTCAGATAGAAGAAGAGGAATTTTCCCAATGGCTTTTAAAGCTTGGAAGTGGAACATTACCTGTCAAGCCTGAAGATCCTTTGCGAGGGTGTATTGAAATACCTGAGCAGTGCTTTCTCAGTGATAATGAATCTATTGTAGAGAAGATTTTCGGTGGTGCAGAAGAAGCTGATTATGCAAAACGTGCTATTTTAACGCCAACAAATGTTGATTCATTGGCAATAAATGAAGAAGTCCTTCATCGTTTACCCGGTGATGTGAAAACATATTTAAGTTCAGATAGCATTGAAACTGATAATCTTAATGAAATTAATAACTTTCCAGTCAAGTTTTTAAATAGTTTGACTCCATCAGGTATGCCTGTTCATTGCCTAAAATTAAAAATTGGTGCTGTTATAATGCTACTTAGAAATTTAGATCTCAAAGGTGGACTTTGTAATGGAACCCGTTTGATGGTGCGTGTATTACACAACAATTACATTGATGGTGAGGTTTTAACAGGTGTATCAGCTGGTAACAGGGTATTTGTTCCTCGAGTTCAATTAGCTCCATCAGATGCAAATTTACCTTTTACTTAACTTAAACGCCGTCAGTTTCCAGTTAAGTTAGCATACTCAATGACCATAAATAAAAGTCAAGGTCAAACATTTAAAAAAGTTGGTGTTTATCTCAAAAAGCCTTGCTTTTCACACGGCCAATTATATGTTGCATGTTCAAGAACAAGATCATTTAATAGTTTGTTTTTTAAAGTTGATAAACATCCATTACAAGGTATGTCATTTAACAAACATTACACAAATAATGTTGTCTTTACAAATGTTCTTAATTTATAATTTTGACAAGTATATTATGTGTTATATGTGTTTTATATTTTATGTATGTTTTTTTTTTTTTGCTATATGTGTATATAAATGTATGTGTTTACATGCGTTTATATATCTTTATTTATATTTATGTGCTTAAGTTTATACAAGTTTATATTAAGTTGTTTCCATGTGAAAAGTGGTGTTACTTGGCAACGTGTAGTGCAAGATTGTGATTCTTGCTAGCCAAGCGGTGTTACTAATTAGTGGTGTTACTTGGCACTTAATGCCGAGCGGTGTTACTAAATTGTGGTGTTACTTGGCAGCGTTTAGTGCCAAGCGGTGTTACAAGTGTTGAGCTAGGTTGTGTTGTCTAGCTTTTTTAATTATTCTGGAAACACATAATCTGAATATTTTGTGTTATGTGCAAATGTGTTATATACAAATATTTGATGCTATGTGTATTCAGTAGCATAGGCAGGGTCTTTTAATGCTTCAGATAGCACTTTCAACCAAACTTAAGTGTATTTACGTTTATAGAATTAAAATACTTTGCAAAACATTTATGTTGTTAAAGCTTAGAAACAAATGTTTAAACAAAGTTTTTTTCCTAACCTGAATTTTTTTAGACATAACAAAGTTAAACTCTTCAACAGCTTCAAAATATTTATCTGAAACAACAAAAATCCTGCCTACAATACTAGTGTTATTGTTTGTCATCCTGTAATGTTGTTGTGTTGTTTTGTGTTGATAGACAGCTTGGCTTACCTTCACGTTGGTGTCTATCGTTAAAAATGATTATTGGGTAGCTTCATTACTGAAACTTACTCCTAATCATTCACTAAAAGCCAAGAAATATTTTAAGAAAAAATGCCTAATTTTTTTGTGTCAGTAAGAATTTTTATCTTTAGCAATGCTGATAAAACTGAATTTTTTTAAAAAAAGAGTATTTCCAGCCTTCCAACCAAATATTAGAGACTTTTACAAAAGCACTCTCACAAAGTAAGTTTCTAATCTTCTATATAATATTACTAAATTTCGTTTCGTATTTTTCATTTTTCAAATAAATTAACATAAAACAAATAAATGTGCATTCAGTGTTATCAATAATAATTTAATTTCATTTTTAGATAATGCTTTTATAATCATTTTAAAAGTCTTTCATATCGTTAATCATTTTCTAAAGGCGAAGAAGAATCATCAATCTTCATACCATTTAATAAAGCTATTTTAATAAAACGCAATACAAATTGTTGTAAATTAGTATTTGAATAGTTTGCGTGTGAATAATTTTCACGTTGTTACCTTATTTTGCAGTTTCCTATCACTTTGTATTGAATTAACTAAATCCAATATTACAGTTCCTTATATCAAGTGCTTCACATTTTCTGTTTTTGTTTTATGAAAAACAGATCAAGTTAATTTATTTGACTTGCCTAGCAACTTATTTTACGCCTAGCCACAGTGAGTGTGCATAAATCAACAGAGGATTTGGGTTTGGGCAGGTTGTCTTGAACTAAATGATTTATCTTCTTCATTTTAAGCTCTAAATATAAATATACGGGAAAGGTGCATATGTGAATTTTTTTTTTCTAGCACATAATCTATTGTTCACTAAAAAATATTAGAGGGAGAAATAGAGATAAGGTTAATGTGGAATAGAGTTTGTCCTTTTAAGTGAAAAACTATTTAATAATTTATCTATCTTCTTCTATATAATATTGCCGAACTTAATAGTAGTGTTAGTAGAAAAAGTCGCAACACTTTTTTTAGAAGAGAACGTGTATGCAAATATCTAACGTACGTAATTAAGTAATAATAAAACATACTGAAACATTTTTCAAGTTTTATAGTTTGATTTTAACTTGAAAATTGCATTGCGTCAACCTCTTCTTAATTTTTGATCTACAGCAATTCCGTTTAAAACAATTTTTATATATTTTTAAAATTTCGATATTTGATGTGTCAGCATGGCCGAGTGGTTAGCGAGCTGAGCTTCTGAACGTAATAGTCTTGGTTCAAATTTACCACCAGCAATTTTTTTCTTTAAATTACAAAACATTTGTGAAGTTAAACAAGTTAAATGTTATACACTTTAACTGTTTTTTCCTTTTAACTTTTATAAATTTTTTAGATTTCTAAAAACACCAATAAACGGGGCGAAAATCTGTTGCGTGTGTGTCATGATTTTGATACTGTTCTCACATAATTGGTCCTAATAAGCTACGGATAGTCTTAAAAAAAAAGGTCCTAAAACCTAATAAGGGAAAAAAAAAAACAATTAAAAGGTTTTTTGTTATATTTAATTTTTTGCTATAAATATAGCCAAATTAAAAAAATTAAAAAAAATGTATTGAGATTTTTTAGGCGCGGATTTGAAGCCTTGCACAGCGACTCTGATGACTGCGCACTCAACTTGTGAGCTATCAAAGTTATGCATGTAGTTAGGCGCTTCAACATTTTTTTAAAAATGTAAAATGAAAACAAAATAAATACCATAAGTAGGAGCTAAATAATAACGTTTAAAAATTACCAAACTTTTTGTTATATTATTATTAGTTTTTCAACTTTTAAACTACAAAATTTATAATTTATTTTTTTGCATGACTTTTGACGCTTTAGGCGACTAACGTTTTAAGGAATTGCATTACCGTTTCCGTCTAATACAAAGGTAACTATAAAAGACCGTTAATATTCAAAATTAGGCATATAATAATAATAAATATAGTAAATAGTAACTATTGAAAATAGCTAGGACGCAACCATAAACCATGGTCCATGGCTGGTCTAAAAGTAGGAAGTAGTTTAGTTCAGAATTTCAAAAATAAATAAAAAAATAAACGTGGTTTAATAAGCTTTATACGTATGCGGAAAAAGTGCGTATGTTAAAGTTTTATTTTGCTCTCAAAGCAAATTTTTTTAATGAATTTTTTTCCACCGTTTTCTAAAAAATATTGAAGTAAATAAGGAACAAGTAAAGAAATGATTGGCGTGGATAAGATAAATATAGAAGTAGAATAAAAGACCTGTATTTACCGATACGGACAGCTAGATTAAAAAAATAAGGGAAAAGGTTTGTGTGGAGTAGACTTACAAAGACCCGTATTTTTACGGGTCAATTCAGCTAGTATATATATATATATATATATATATATATATATATATATATATATATATATATATATATATATATATATATATATATATATATATATATATATATATATATATATTTATATATATATATATATATACATATATATATATATATATATATATATATATATATATATATATATATATATATATATATATATATATATACATATATATATATATATATATATTATATATATATATATATATATATATATATATATATATATATATATATATATATATATATATATATATATATATATATATATATATATATATATACAGTATTGGACAAAACATTTGAAACCAACATCGAACAATGCTAAAAATTGTTCCTAATTTTACATGTCTTAAAAACGAAACGAAATATACTACCACAGCAAACAAACCAAGAGTCTGGAGTCATAGCATGCCATGTAATGTGCAATCAGCTGACAGGGGACAGCACACAGACAGAATTTTGTTGACAAGTGCCATTTTGCAGCGTACAAAATAAGTGCAACTTTTTTGGTTTGTTTCATTTACTTAAGTCTGGTCCGTGTGAAGGTCACAGAAGGTTTTTAATAGTTAAAGGAAGTATTGTGAAGTTTCCAGAAGTTTCCAGAAGCATGCAGAAGCTTCCAGAAGTTTCCGGAAGAAGTATCTGGAAGCATCCAGAAGTATCCAGAAGTATCCAGAAACATTCAGAAGCATTCAGACGCATCCAGAAGCTTCCAGAAGCATCGAAAAGAAGCATCTAGAATCTTCCAGAGCAGGTTCACACAAGTTCATTTTACTATACAATAGACATGTTAACCGACATGTAATTCAGTCAGTATATGGAAGTTAATCAGTCAGTATTATCAAGAAAGTTTATCAAAGTGAGTTTTATCAAAGTGTTTTATCGAAGAACATCAATACAAAAAGTGAAATGCAACAAGTGTTTCACAACATCAATACAGTCCATATCCAACCAAGGCGTTGTGTTCCACAGAGCATTATTGTATTACCACAAGGTAAATGTAACACGGTAAGCCTTAAGAGGCGTGATTATAAATTTTATTATTTCTATGACTTCTTGTGCAAAATGGCTCCCGACCGTCTTGGATAGGAACTAAAAAAGAAAATTATCGGTAATTACGTACGTGGAATGTCACAAAAAAAGTATTGTGATAAATATCGCGTGAAAAAATCTACGGGGAAGTTGGCAGCAGATAACAAAGGTGGAAGATCGCGTTCCACAACTTCTAGAGAGGATTCTATGATCATCAGATCCGTCAAGAAGAATTTCTGGATATAATCAGTCAAAATACAAGAGCAATTAGAGCTGCCTGTATCGGACCGAACAATCAGACGACGTGCTGTTGAAGCCGGTTTGTTTTCTCGACGCCCTGCAAACTAATCGCTGATTTCACTAAAGAACCAGAAGAAAAGACTCCTGTTTGCTCACCTCATATTGACTGGAATGTGCAGAAATGGCAAACTGTCTTGTTCAGTGACAAATCGAAGTTCAACATTATTGGGAGCGATGGCATTTGCCGTGTACGCCGTCCCATGGTGGAGACAATGTAATGGTCTAGGGGTGTTTTTTTTTTTGTTAACAGTCCAGTTCCAATACATCGAATCCGATGGACTAA